TATGTAGAGATACTGCTTGCAGCCAATGATGCATGAAATTTTTTGTATAAGATGATGTTATGGGGTAGGACTGGATAAGTCTGACTTCTTCCTACTCCATTCAAACATGTACTAGGTATAAGCAAACTGATTCTGGATTAGCATTGGTTGATCTGTGTAATTATGTGTGTGTTGATGTCATTTGTTCTGCATGTTTGAAAGAATAAATCAAATCAAATCAAATCAAATCAAATCAAATATTACCGATACGCTGGGAGTTCTTGTTGTTTACGTACGTGTGAGTGAGTGAGTCAGTGAGTGTGAGCGCTCCTTGCACTACCTGCACAGACTTCATCCGTTCAGGTTGTTTTTATCTGTTACTATTGATTCTTAGTAAGAGATTAAACTTCATCTCCTGCTGCTTTAAAATATCAATGTGAGCCCAGTGTTATGAAAACTATACACCAAAAACAAGTACAACTTACCTTGAGTGACCGGATTAAAATGAAGCGGCAGCCTCAACAAGTTGGTGCATTGGCCATGGACAGGACTGGTCCTGCTCCGTTCTCCTCCTGCGTAACAGCAGCGAGAAGGAGCCCCCGTCGGGAAGAGAAGCGGGTCTATACTATAAGCATGGAGTATACGTGAGCTTTAGCTAAACCCGCCGCCTGTCTGTCCCGGACGCACCTGCTGTTCTCAGTCTTCACGTACTGCTGATGCTGCACCGGACAGCGGCGCGCTCTAGACCGGAGGCACGCGCGCGCAACGAGTCTTGCACCACCTACTCAGTGTGCACCGAGAGGCAAAGGGCAACTAAAGCCTTGCACTTAAAGCTCTTTATTGTAGTTATTGTAACCTGCGGTGTCCTTGCAACAGTAAGTGACCTAGCTGTGTGTCAGATAGGCTACTCTGGAAGTGCTTGAGATAAAAATATTTAAAGTGACTGACTGATTTAAAGTGACTGAGGTACAGAGATAATATTACCAACCAGCTGTAATATAAAATGTGATGTATGCAATAATCCTTTCAATATTCCAGTAATATAATATGTCTTATATTAATATGAAATGGGTCATTCTGCATCATTTTTGATACTTTATTTTTTTATACTAATGTTTACTCAGACGTCAAGTTTTTATTTTATATAGGCAATTTAAAGTGCTTAACACAATGCACACAAACAGATAAAACATTAAAATGCAAATTAGATTAAACTATTAAATGCTAATTAAAAGTTAAATTATATGACAGCACAAATTAGCAACATGCAAGTGTAGAGACCTAGTACTGTTAGGATAGCTTATTAAGTAATATACTGAATGCAGGACTTTTACTTATAACAGAGTATTTCTATGCTGTGGTATTGCTACTTTTTCTAAAGTAAATAATCTGAATACTTCTTCTGCAGCAGAAGAAGAGGTAAACCCACCCCCCAGGTCCCAAAACCCCCCACATTCACCCCCAATATGATGGCATAACCCTGGTGTGCTCATTGTTATCACAGCACTTGGCATAAGCACCATAATAATGTGTGAATGTCTCAAGAAAAACAACAAGAACTTGGTACAGGAGTCAAACTTGTTTCCATGTTCAATTACATCATGTGCTAAATGTGACAATATGTGGCTGTAAGGATGATTATTATGGTCATCACCAATTACAGAGCACTTCAGTTACCATGATCCAACAACTGTGCAACTGATAAATATCTCTGCCACTCACTTCGGTCACTTTTGGTAACCAGGAAGGAGAGGGACACAATAAGATAGTTTTACATGTCTCTGCATTTCATCCTGTTGGAATTTTATGAGCCTTTTATTACCCTCTTATTTGATTTGTCAGAACTGCCGTTTCCTGCTCAGCGTCCGGTTTGCGCCAGAGAACATCTGACCACAGTACTGAACACGTTTTGTAAATACAGTATTGAAAGGCATAACCTTTTATAACCTTTTTGTCCATCATGGTGGGGTTGAACTATGTAGTCTGCCCTGCCTCCCTTTAGACCCCAGTCACCCTCACTGGGTCAATGAGTGCCATTTTAACAGATAGATTGAGCTGTAGGCTAAAGCACATAATAATAATAATGAAATAATTTTCTTACACCAAATATCAAAGCTCTGTTAACAGATTCAACTTTGTGTCATCATTAGCACATGAACTATTGTTTACATACTTTACTGGCTGATATGCTGGGTCCAGATCCTTGTGTGGAAAACATGTCATCATACTGTAGCCTACTCTCATTAAGACTGACAACAAAGGTAATAGCAGTGTTTTGTATCCTGATCTGGAGATGAAGAAACAGAGGTGTAAAAAAAACACACTGTTATTTCATTGCTGTGGTTTTAAACTTTACAAAACACTGTAGTTTGTCAGGTACTCCTGCTTTGAGGTTGTGGCCAGTGAGTCATGACTGCACGTATTCCTTCTGCACAGAGTTTGTACTTCCTCAGTTTGTCATGTGAAAATTCATTTGTGCTGGCCTTGTCATTCACAATGAACCAATCCTTTAATATTAACAAATGTGATGATGTCAGATGATGCTGATGAGGAAAAAACTGTCCGTCCTTGAGTCACCGCCTTCTATATTTCATCCATTCATTCATTTTCTACCGCTTCATCCCTGAACGGGGTCGCCGCGGGGAGGGGGGTTGACAATCCCCGCCGGACAATTAAGCATAGTGAGGTGTATTATGAGCAATGAACAATAAAATAAGATGGAGGCTACAGACCAAAATGCATAGGTTCAGTAATAAGGTTGTTCTCTGCACAGCAATGTATTTTCCCTTCTCCATGCACCTTGACAGTGGGTGAAGCTGCGCCAAAAGCCTCTACTCCATTATGATTACATTTCTAAACAGTCAGCAAGACTGTGCCAACAGATGACTGGCATCCAGAAGATCTCTTTTTCTCAAATGAGCACACTTGTCATGTTGAAATTGAAATGTGTCCAGACAGGGAAGTAGTCCATTTCCCTCTAGAAAAAATTTGCTCAAAGCTTAATCAGC